GGTCGATTACCTATAAACTACCGCATTTCGTTAGAAAAGCGGTCGGACACCTGGAACGGTTCCCTCGTTAAAATGGTTTAATATTTTTTAGAATACGTATGCTTTTGGTCATATCGTTGGATTGGACTAGATATTATATACACATATTAGATTTGAGCAAAAGTCGTTTATGTTAGCTATCCAAATTGGCTTTTGACAATAAGGCATAGAAGAAATAGTTTTCCTCTGGTATGGTGTTTATTTTCTTACCATAAATCCATATGATCATCAACATGACATTGTCCCACCAATCTTTTAATTAATTCTGGCATTGTTAGTCTTAAATATTGATTTGGGTAGCAAATAATGGCAGTAATCAACGTTAGAATGAGTACTTCTGTGCGTGGATATTGGCCAAGGCGTGTATTTTTTCGTTTTTTACACCATGCTATATTTGCTTTAATGAACAAGGCACCCCATATACCTCCCAATGCGCCGAGACCAATAAAGGGTATTACTTCAAATGTGGCCCATGGTGCATTATACTCAATTGGAAATTGAATTTCATGGCCATTCCCGTACGGATTAATTGTACGGACAACAAGGGCTCCAACCATACAACAGAAAAATGTACGCCATAATGTTTTATACGGAAAATAGTAACTAATTTCTTCAAGAGAAAAGAGAATTCCACCGATAGGAGCATCAAATGCTACTGAAACACCAGTGGCAGCTGCAGCTGACAATATTTCACGTTTACGCGCTTCATTTGTTCCATATTTTGGAAATAATTCTAAGTAAAGACTTTGATATTGCACTGGGAGGAGAGCAGAAAAGAAGTTAACATACTTGCAAATAGATTTCCACAACAACATGAAATATGCACAAATGGTCCTTCTTTGCCTAATATCAGTCCTGCACTTGTCGCAAACATCATTCCGATACTTTTGATAAGAAATGTCCATTTACCAAGATAACCATACATTATAAAACCACTTAAGATTGTTTTTATTTCAGGAATACCTGCAAAAAATTTCATTTTCAGTAGTTCATGCTGACAAAATTGGAATTTTTATATACCTGAACTACTAGCATAAGGAGCGGAGCCTACAACTAATACGACAATGAATGCTGCGTATATAACAGACCAAAATACAAACATAAAATATCTAAAAAACCATGCGCCTGCCGTTGTATACGTCATACCAAATATATCGGACCAGGCATGCCACTGTAATGTGAGAATGTGTATAAGATTAGTTAATACAGGCTATTAACATAATATTACCTACATGCGAACATATTTCATTGTGCACCTCATCAAAATGAACATCTTTTGAATCCCAACAACATTGTTCTCTATTTAACCAAAATGCTTTTGTACATACGCCTGTCCGCCAGTGACTCATCCATTTTGCTCCAATATCAACAAAACCAGCTACTAGACCTTAAAAATAAGATCTTTTAGTTATGTTATTAGATTATAGATATACCGAACTTAACCAGCTGATAATCCAACTAATAGTACACATATCCATCCACTCCATGCGTCATAATAATATGCAAGTCGTTTTCGACAACTATCACGTCTTTGACTTCTTAATATTCGATGACGAATACGATTTCTCATCAAATCCTTTAGCCAGTCAATAGTTTCAAAATTTTCATAATGTTTTCGCACAACATATGTCACGTTTGTTACTAAAAACAAAAAGAAAAGACAAATAATATATCAGTTTTTTTTTCTTCTTTACTTTACAATAACTAACCCTGATGATCGTTTGGATATTTACTATCAGGACTTATATTATTTGGTTGATCAATCATAGTTACGGTGGCCGATGAACCACCATCGAACTGTAAAGACGGGAATTCACCATCGCTCTGATTCGACATAAGCGCGTTAACTACATCGCCATCATCGTTTTCTTCATCACTGGGTACGGGAGATAACTGAAAACGAGCACGAGCATCAGTGCACGCTTGAGATTGTTCACCTATAATATCGCAGTTATCAATGTAACACAGTAAAGTTAGAGAATTTTAATGTGTTAGTTTAGTAGTCTTTTTCAAAACTATGAAGGAGCGCACGCTTATCGGTGTAGATTTTCTGGGTCTAAAAGTGAAACTTTGACAATAAAAAGGGAATTTAACGTTCCCCAGTAAGAATTTTCCACATCATTTCTTCTCCACCATCCGTCAGTCCTTGTCACGAGTTTTGGTCGAAACTACTATCCATTTCATAGGACAATGCAGTTGGTTGCAACTTGAATAACTTCTCAACGGAAGTAGCTAGAGACGTGTGGTTTGCGTTGTTAGAAAGAGAAAAGATAACTTTATCAGGAAATGTAACATTCAAGTAGGT